ATATATAATGTCATTCAGAACTGAAAAGTATAAATTTTTTCCATTTGCCTTGTATTTTTATGTGTCGAGTTTCTTAAATATTTCACATATGAAATATGTGAAATTAAAATATGTCTTTTTGTAGTTGCTGCCTATATAGAGTGCATCAAATCAGTTACGTATTAGGTTCTATTTTGGTTAAAATGCTATTATAGCCACTAGAAAGCAAGGTAGCAAAGCTCTAAGTGTGCTGATGTCACACAGCCATCTTTAGAAAGACATCCTGTTGTGCAGACTTGCACTCTGACCTGAAAACCTCAGCACTTTCAGTTGAATTGATGACCTGCTAGAACTGTTACTCTCAGAGGACTGCAATGCTAAGCTAACTGACAGCTTTCGGTGTTACAGAGAGGCAGTGAATACTCCAAAAAGTATCAGTTGCTTTTGCACATTGTTGGCGTATCTCAAAAAAGAGTTGGCAGCTAGCAGAACATGAGACAGAGTCTCTCTGTCCATGCTAACTTGTTGACTGGCTGTTTTGTAGCACAGTAGCAGCTGTTGGCTAGCGGTTAGTAAGTTTTGCACTGTTTTAGCAGACTCTTGGCGTGGCTGTTGTGGTGGTTGGAAAGCTTTCATAAAAGGTCTGTACAATAAAATTCTGAAATTGCTCCTCTGAGATTTTACTGAAATAGTTACATTGTTTTTATGGGCATTTCAAACAACGCATTAGTGGATGAATAACCTTGTTTATTTTGCTTGTATTCTTCTAGTGATGGATCTGATATGCCCTGATAAAGTCTCTTGCTAAAATGGCCTGCTATCTGTCATTCTCTTCATTTGTTGTATCTTAAAGGGGTCATATGATGCTGATAAAAAGAACATTATTTTGTGTATTTGGTGTAATGAAATGTTTATGCGGTTTAAGTTTCAAAAAACACATTTTCCACATACTGTACATTATTGTTTCTCCTCTATGCCCCGCCTTTCTGAAACGCATAGATTTTTACAAAGCTCATCGGTCTGATAAAGCGAGGTATGCTGTGATTGGCCAGCTATCCAGTGCGTTGTGATTGGCCGAATACCTCAAGC